GTATTACCAACTCTCTGATGTTAACATGAGTCTATAGTAATTGTTTGGGTCAAGCAGATTGGCATTCATTATTCAGTCATTCCTTATTGAGTGAGGGACCACGGCAACCACACATTGTGGTCCCAAAGCTGGCTGTGGGGATAATCCCAAATGGGCCGCCAGCAATTTGTGCTTGATTTGCACTCCTTTTGCCAGCCAACCTGGGCTATGTTAGGCGGCTGCAGTGCAGCTTCAGACCGATCTGGGGGTGTGCATCATCTGTACGTCACACCCCCAGATCAGCCTGAAGCTGACGCTTTTGGCCCATGTGTTTTGGGCCATTAATCAAATATCCCAAATAATAATAAAAGTCTTTACACTGAGATCAATAACCTAATAAGATTTCGTTTCCACCTCTAAATGCTGAATCAGATAAAATTCTATATTGTTGATTTAGGGGGGGAATTGTGTTTGCCTAACTAACCCTGATCTTCTTAGGTGGATTTTCAAAAGAGTTATCTTGATTATATTTACTGTTCTAACTGATCCTCGTTAAGCTGCATTCTTTTCCGGCGGCGTTCCTTGGCCTTTTCCTCCTCTATCTGTACAGCTTTTTGATGTTCCCGTTCTATTTCTTCAAGCTTACTGAGGTACAGATTTCCTTTTTTCTTGTTAAATTCAATCTGAGCATCTCTTTCCTTTAAGACTTCAGTAAGTAAAAAGGCTCTCTACAAAACAAAATTTGAACATTTAACAGGATGTTACGCTTGAACAAAGCCTAAACATAAAAGGAAGGGGAATAGTCATATACATTACATGGAATCCTTTCACTCTCTCATTTTCATAATATTGTTGCATTTTGGCTTTTTCTATAAACTCTTTTCGCTTCTGTGCTTGGTACTTTGCTTCTTCCAGGTCAATCTTCCTTCGCTCTTCCTCTTGCCTTTCTTTCCGCACTTTTTGGGCTTTTAGTTTCATTTGTGACATACCCTGCAGTGAAAAGAACTCTCTGCTATTAGAGAATATTATTAAGAAGCAAAATGGTCCAAAACTGGCATCTTTAAAAAGTCAGGCAAACAACTGTTGTCGTTGTGTGCCTTCACGTTGTTTCCGACTTATGTCAGCCCTAAGGTTTTCACCTTCCTTCCCTTTTACTTCCCATTCCACCTCAAGAGTATGCCAGACAGCTTCAATTTTTGAGTTATATTAAGTGGAACATTTACGATCAAATTCAGTGACAATTTTATTGTCTCTCATATATACTTCCTTTTCATGATGTTTGAAATAACTTCCATAGTAGCAAATTGCTGCTATGTTGACCCAAAACTATTTAATCAGAAGGAAGGGCCGAAACAGATGGCCCAAAAAGGGCAGATTGGGGTCGTCCCAGAGCTGGTCGCGCCAGAGCCATGGCGAACACATAGTGCGGCCCAAATACACCCTGAACCTGGACCAAATAGGAGCGGAAAAGATGAAAGGGCTGGCTTTGGCAGCCCCACCACAACCCCAGGACACCACAACCCTTCTGGGCACTCCAGCTGTATGTCCTCCGGCAGCATGCAGCGCTCTGGGCGGCTTCCAGATGTCTTGGGGGTGTGTGGCATGTAAATGCCACACCCCAAGCTCCCCAGAAGGCAGCTTAACTTGCGAGTCTGTTCTGGCCATAAGTTTTACAGAGTTCAGTGAAGCTTATTCACATGTTAATATACACAGGATTGCAGCCTGTGGCACTTGATTAGAAGCAACCTCTTCATGCACAAAATTATAAAAATATTATATAGAAAATCACCTCCAGGCTATATTCATTAGGTGTAAATAAAACATAAATGAAGTTCATGGTTAGATTTGGGTCCCATCTCCAAGATCTCATTATGTATATACAAATATTTGAAAATCTGAAAAAATCTGAAATCCAAAACACTTGTGGTCCCAAGAATTTTCAGCCCTGTCTCTGCTAAAGATATAAATTCCGGTTATGCTGCAACTTTTTTGACTGACAAATTATTTTGCCCCACTCAGCAGAAGCAAACATTCAAAAATTCAAGCAGGCAGTGAAATGCACATTTTTTCTTACTGCAATAGTGTTGGTCCAGTTCTTAACAAGTGCTTCAGACTTTAAATGTAGATCTTTTCGTTCTTTCCTTTCTGCACGAATTTGTGCTGCTTCTCTGGCTCGGGCAGTGAGGCTGTCTTGTATCCTTTGCCATTCTGCTTTGGGCAGTATAGTTATTTCACGAAGATCTACTCCTACTGGGAGAAATATTCCCTCAACTGCATCCTCTTTATTTGCTATAAACAAAAAACATTATTTATTTACAACTATTTCACTTCCAGGCCAGAAAGTCATAGTTTTAACACCCACCTGAGATCTCAATCCCCCACCTAAATTAATGTATCACAAATAACAGAGCAACGGAATAACAGTAACAAAACTTTTTGTATACTCATAAAACTATATTACAAACTTAGATATATATTACAGAAGCCCAAAAGTTTTGGTATCATGTGATAATATAACAAATTACTATTCAAAATTCTTCCAAAAGTTCTCTATTATTAACATTTATTTATAAAGCACTGTAAATTTACACAGCGCTCTACATAGTAAACAATTATAGAGATAAAAAACAGCCAGAGGCATACATTCTAACAGCAAACAGTTATAAAATTAATGCAGAAAGTTTTGTTATTGTTATCGTTATTCCATTGCTCTGTTATTTGGGAACTATGTGACCCTCCCAGTGTTGGTGAATTGCAACTCTCAAGAGTCTTCACCACCAGCTAGGGCTGCTGAGTTGCAGTCAACAAATTAAAAATAATTGGCAATTTAGACAGCCTTATCACTTCCAAGCCCTACAAGTGAGCTTTGAATGGAAATATTTCAGGCTTTACCTCTTGCATTTCATGATCAGGTGGCCCTACTGCTGGCGTTGCAAGGGTTGGTGTCACCACTCATACTGTCACTCCCCCAAGCTGCCTAACACAATTCCAGCTACACTCCTCTGCTAGCCAGGCCACCTCTGCTATGGTGACGGTATGATGCTGCTGCCACTTGGCAGCCTGTTTCAGGTCTGGTGCAGTTGCTGGGCAAGCGAGAAAGGGAGGAGTATGATAAGCCTAGTCAGGACTATCAATAAAGGAAATGTGGACCTGATGCATTCAGTCAGCTTGAAACCAAATCTAGGGTTTTGTAAAACTTTGATTAGGGGCACCAAAGTATCACAAGTTGACAAGCTTTGAATTCTCCAGAATCCTTCAATCTGGACAGGGGAAGAAAAGGAGTTCAAAAATCTTACCAGATGTAGAGCCTACTGTCCCTGCAAGAAGAAAAAAGGTTCTGGAGGATATGAAAGCTCCTCAGTTTAAGACCACTCAGAGGATCAATTAGATTTTTAAGATTTTTTTAAAATACTAGTTAAAAACATCATATCTTACCAAATGTTCAGTTTAGACACATGAAACTATGTACTTGTAACTACATTTCACATGCGCATATGACATTGTAATTTAAAGGTACAATTTAAATTTTGCTGTTTATGTCACACCTACTGTCACTGTTGTAGTTAGCTGCCCTCAAGTTGACATTGACTCATGGCAACCCTGCAGATGAGGCATCTCCAAAACCTCTTGTCCACTGCTGTGTGAACTCAGTCCTGTGACCTCCCTGGTTAAGCCCATCCATCTGGCATGCAACCTTCCTCTCTTTCTATTACCCTCTACTTTTCCTAGCATTATTGTTTTTTTTCCACCGAGTCATGCCTTCTCATGATGTATCCAAAGTACAACAGCGTGTGGCCTCCCTAATTGAGTCTAACCATCTAGACAGCAGCCTTCCTCTTTCTGCTGCCTTCTGCCTTTCCCAGCATCATTGCCTTTCCCAGTGAGTCCTGCCTTCTCATGATGTGGCTGAAGTATGAAGCCTCCATTTAGTCATCCTGGCTTCCAGCGAGTTCAGGCTTGATCTGTTCTAGAACTTATTTGTCTTCTTTGCCATCCATGGGATCTTCAGCAATCTTCTCCAATACCACATCTCAAATGAGGTGATTTTCTTTCTATCTGGTTTCTTCTCTGTCCAGTTCTCACATCTGTGCATGGTGATGGGGAAAACAATGGCTCGGACTATCCTCACTTTAGTGTTCAGGGTTATGTCTTTGCACTTCAGGATTTTGTCCAGTTCTTTCATAGCTGCCCTTCCTGTTCCTAGTCTCCTTCTTGTTTCTTGATTGCAGTCTCTGTGCTGATCCATGTTTGATCCAAGGTAGGGGGAATCTTTAACTATCCTCAGCACTCTTCTCCAGCACCACATCTCAAATTAATTTTCTTCTTATCTGCGTCCCTGGTGGAGCAGTGGTTAAATGCCTGTAGTGCAGCCACTCACTCATAGACCACAAG